CTCTTCTTCCCTCCCCCCATTTCTACTGTAAATAATTCACTATTTTTCACAACTAAGATAGGACTAGGGCCCTGTGGGAGAGAAGAGATTTGGGATGACGAAAGATCTGCCTGGCAGGTATGACCCATGAACTCCTGGCAAGCCACCCTAGAGAGCAGGGTTCGTGCCCCTTTTCCTGGAAATAGTTGGGGCCCTCTTGTTGCTCAGGAACGAATATTTAGACTTTTCTTATCTTGGAAATAAACTTTCCTAGAAAAGATAATCTGATTTCTTATTCAGTCTTCCCTTCTCCAGCAGCAATCCCTTTTCTCCCAAGGAAGGTAATCCTTGTTTTATGCATTGCCCAGGCCTCTCTGGGTTATTTCTTAGGAACCATTGGGTTCCCAAGATCACAGGAGTCTTAACCTTCTCATCCAGGGCTCAGGAGAGGCAACCCTCTTCATCCTTCTCCCATTCCCACCACCCAGGTGGCCCGGTGTCTCATCTGCCTCCATTACAGAATTATAGACAGTTTGGTCTGGAAGGAACATTGGAACAAATCTCATTCCACCCCCTCATTTTATTGCCTGCTCCAAAGGGGACAATCTCTCTTGGATTAGAATTAGATATCAAACTTTCTTCCTCATTATTTCTGTGCTCAGGTCAAACTTGTCTCCCAGAATTTAATTTTTCCTCATGTTGATGAATCATGAACCTCAGATGCTTTCTATTCACAGCTAAAAGCACCTGTGACCTTTCAAAAAAAAAAATGAGAAATCACTTTAGGAAACCTCCCTAAAAGAAAGGGGCCCATACTCTCTTGGGAATCATGGGAAATAAGTAGCTGGCAATGAACTGTTTCAGAAAACTCTTTTTTCTGTAGCTAAGTGTGTTTGTGGAGGGATTGGTAGGTGATCTTGATTCGGGGAAATCTGCAAAGTGAGGGAAGATGCATGGGCAGAGTGGGAAAGTAAAGAGGTATCTTAGTGGAAGGAGAGACGGGGATAGAAAAGTAGCGAACACACGCAGGTATGACGGGGAGTTTTCCAACCTGAGTTCTATGAGAGGCCGGGGAGTACAGCACCCACCATGGGGTCTGAAAAACTGAGGATGAAAAAAGGAGCAGCCAGACTGAAAGGAAAAGAAATTTATTAAGGCACTAAAGAAAACTGCTCCCTGATAGCAGCTTTAGTTTTTTAGGCATAGATTGGGTTTTCATATAGCTTTTTAGGCTCATTTAGAGCCCATCAAGTGAGATAATATTTGTCAAGTGCTTAGCATAGTGCCTGGCACATAGTAGGCACTAAATAAATGCTTATCCCTTTCCCCTTACCACTTAGAATACAAAGCCATTCAATCAATGGCACAATGGAAATGGGGGGAGTGTGTGAGCCTTGGGGTGACAGGGGTTTTTAAAACTCAAATTTGTCCCCATGGGGAAATGCATTTCCTTCTTAGTAGTGAGTCTTATCAGAATATCCTGTGTTGGCAATCTGAACCAAAGCTGCGAAAGCCCCAAACCTGAAACTTGAAAGGAAAGGAAATCCTAAATATGAATTTATCTTTTCAGTCCCTTTGAAAATCATCCCCATTGGCTCCAGTATAGGCACTGCCATTTTCAGGCTGGTTCCTTCACATGTGGAATCCCCGTTTCAATCTTTTCCGTATTGAAAATGTTTTCCCTCTTAAGTACCACTCATCTGGAACGTATTTGAGGCAAGTGGTAAGAGAAATGTTACAGGACACCTCGACTCCTCTTAAATTTGCCATGGATTGCTGTGTAGTCTTACTCAGGAGGAGAAGGTTAAAGATTAATAGCAAAGTTTTGGGGCAGGGAGCGGGAGGGGAGGGGAGGGGATTGGGAGTGGTAACAGCAATTCAAGACCCACGCTGATAAAATGACTGCTGCTCCTCCCCCATGGTTTTGGGATGAAAACATCAGGTTTGGTGAGGAGAGGGAGGATTGACAAGAGCAAATACGGTACCACATTCATTTACTCGGTAAAAAGTCACTGGACTTGGGACTCAGGAGTGCCAGCCACAGGACTGCTAAAGGCTATAGCAAGGAAGGGGATTGAACCCAAGGTGCAAGACGGGATTGGCTCATGCCCTATAGAATGACCTGGAACTAGGATCAAAGGAGAGACTGTTGTCTTTGTTCCTACCTTGGAGCAGGAAGCTTCTGGAAGACTAGAACAGCTAAACTCGGTGATTGTCTTAGGATGCCTTTATTTTAGCCTCGCTTCCATGGATGCTCATTTGTGCTTTTCCAAAGTGACGTCTTCCGCCTCTTCCCCCTCTTCCCGCTGAGGACTAACGAAGGTGTCAACACAGGTAGGATTTCTTTTCTCTTCTTTTCCTGGGACTCCCAAGTGCGGATGCCCTATCCCACTATAAGGAAATGGTGTTGAAAGAAGAGACCACGTCTCTCTATGTATTTTAAAAGCTGGAAAACCGTACCGACCAGTTTCATTTTACGGGCCACCAGTTTTTTTTTTGACGTAGGAGAATAATAATTTAGGTTTTTATTTCAAGATTAAGATAATTGTAAAGAAGGGAGTATAGTAGCAACAGCACCTGGGGGTCCTGGCTGTTCATTGCTTTTACCCTCCAGGAAATGATCACAAAGCAGTGTGTAAGCCTGGCCTCGCGAGCAGAGCCAGCATGGTACCGTGGAAGAGTACTGGATTTGAAGTCAGAAAACCTGGATTCAAATCCTGCATTTTCCACTATCTATGTGACTTTGGGTGTGTTACTTAACCTCTTTTACTCTCTGAAATCTGTGATTCTATTAGTCAGGACTGTTGTCCTCCCTGTTACTCTCCCTCCCCCCACACACTCTCCATTCTCATCTCTACAACAGCTTCCTGGTTTGTGTCAGGTGAGAATATAGTTTAGAGCTCAATGTAACAACATGACTCTACACCATCCCCTCCGTTATTGCCAAGGTGTTTCCCCACAGCACCAACCAAGTGGAAAGGGAAGAAAGGGAAGGAACAAAGGAACTGGGTGGTAAGATGTCTAGAGCACTGGGCCTGTAGTCAGAAAGACCCTAGTGACCCTGGGCAAGTCACTTAATCTTTGTCTGCCTCAGTTTCCTCAACTGTAAAATGGGGAACATAATAGCACCTCCTTCAGAGGATTGCTGTGAGATAATATTTGTAAAATGCTTGCATGGTGCCTGGCACGTGGTAGGCACTTAATAATGCTTGTTCCCTTCCCTCCCTACTAGCTGTGCCTCAGTTTCCTTATTTGCAATATAGGGAGACATTGGATTCAATGGCCTCTAAGGCTCTAAATCTATCATTTTAGAATAATAAAGTTCTTAAATCTATCTATAAATATCTTAAATATATAATATATTTTATATAAATTTATATATTTTAAAAATATATATTTTATATTATATATTTTATAAGAATATAAAAATATCTCAAATCTATAAATAAAGTTCTAAATCTATCATTTTAGAATAAAGTTCTTAAAACATCAACAAATTTAGGCTGAAGGTATTGCCCCCGTGGTCGTTGCTGGGTGGTAAATATTTGAGGGAGGATTTGAACCCAGGTCACTCTGACTCCAAGGCCAGTGTCCTATCCTATATACCATGACTCTCAGCAGAACTGTAAGTAACAAATATGCATAGTCAAGTTGGCCGCATTAAAAAAATATATCTCACCCTGTATATTTATTCTTGAGAGACTTAATTCTGACGGACACAATGATCAACCGTGATTTCAGAGCACTGATGGTGAAAAATGCTATCTACTCCTTGGCATCCATCCCTTGGGAAAGCAGGTCTAGGCGGAGATCTCTTGGCAGTCGGAAATGAATTTACTGAGTGCTTAAGGAAGAGGAATCACATTAAGGAGAGAGAGGGACAAAGATGGGAGGTGGAAATCTGAAAGAGACTCAGCTTCACCTGCTTCACCAGGTGACCCAGACCATTCTCCATAGGAACACAGAAGCAGGTTCATCACAAGGACCCCGACTGAAGGTTTCTCAGGAGAGCCTGGCAACTTCCGGTATCTTCCTCCTCTCATTGCTGTGTCCTCAACTGGCAGAAACTCCCAATCAGCTCTCTCCTATCCTAATAACAGGTCCCAAGGTGTACCTTTCAATTTGGCCAGTCTAGTAATAGATGTGGGCTCCTGGACTAGGAGAGAGCTTTGGGGGAAACTGTGCTTAGCACATAATCGGTGTTCAATAAATGCTTGAAATGTAGGAAAAACGACTCAAAATGAATGCTCTGCATATGATCCTTTAAGGATAGTTGGGTTTGACCATAAAAGCAGTGAATTAGACAATTGACAGAGTTGACCACCTTCTACTTGTGAATACTCTCTCCTCTCTAGGTTTTCATGACACTGGTCTCTTCAGTTTTTCTCTTTACTTGTCTGAGTGCTCCTTAATTTCCTTTGCTGAATCTTCATCCATGTCATATACACAGTCACACATGTTGTATCCACAGTTAGTGGACATCCCCAGGCCTCTGTGACCTTGAGCAAGTCACAATCTATCTGGACCTCAGTTCCCTTTTCTGTAAAATAGGGATACCAGCCCTATTTTAAAAGTATTACGCAAAAGAATCAAATGTGAAAGTGCTTTAAAAAAACAAATGCAAAAAGGACTACAGAAGGAAAAGATAATATCAATATCCTATTTTATATGAGGAATCACACTCTTACTTTTAAGAAAGAATTTCAGGGGGGCAGCTAGGTGGCACAGTGGATAGAGCACCGGCCCTGAAGTCAGGAGGACCTGAGTTCAAATCCGGCCTCAGACCAAATACTTGACACTTACTAGCTGTGTGACACTGGGAAAGTCACTTAATCCCAATTGCCAAAAAAAAAAAAAAAGAAAGAAAGAAAGAAAGAATCTCAGTTAATGTCTTGGATTTTCAAGAAGAAACTACTGAATATTTCTCAGCAGTGATCTCCAGAGACACAAGGTCAAATCCTAAAAATAATACAATAATAAGATTGTGTTTCCTCATCACTGGAAATATTCAAATAAAGATTGGACAACTACTTGTCCTGGTTAGAGGGGCCTTAATGTTTTGACCAAGGTTTGAATTAGATGATCGGTGACCCTGACATTAGAAATCTATATAAAATTCCTTTTCTGGGCTTCTCTGTAGCCCTGGATGGGGATCCTTCTGGGTTACACTAGGATCCAGGTGATAAAGCCAAAGGAAAGAAGTGTGTTAAGAGATGGATGATTGAAATGAGAGGTAACCTCACAGATAGTGAAGAATAAGAGTTCTGAACTTTCAACTTGAATTGATGGCAAAAGACAACACTGAATCTTTCTTCATAAATGGCCTAACCTCTTGAATCTGGTTATCAGCTGAATTGCAGCCTGGAAGACCAACATTCATTTATGGCATTGTGGAGATAACCATGGACTTCCCGCAGTTATCTTAACCTCATTGAACTGAACAAAGGTTATATCAGGGACTCAACTCTCTGTCTTGCATCTGGCTTAATCTCCTATAAAATTTTGAAAAAGGAGATAGCACCTGCCCAAGAGAAAGACATGGGGAGACATAGAAACACTTGATCTCCAGATATTCCACACCTAGATCTTTGGAACTTGTTAGCCAAGATTATGGAGGAGAAAGAGTGAGCAAACTACAGGAACAAAGTTTATGAGGTCTTGTTAAAAGGAAAGGGAGGAAGGACAAAGAATCCCAATCTATAGCTAAAGACTGAGATGGCAGGATTGTTGAAGTTTACAAATATAGGAGTCAAGAAAAGAAATGACTATGAAAAAGATCTAACTATTCTGAAAGGCGTTTAGTCATCATTATAACCATTACCATGTTTCCCAGATTTGGAAAGCTTCAGTTCTTGTCATGGCATGATCTAAAAAGATGGTATTTCCACTTTATGCTTAACAAATTCTATCCTTTATTGACCACAATACCTATTAATTCTACTCATCCACTTTCCTTTTTGATAAGCATATACCAGAAAGCCTGTTGGCACATACCTCCAAATAAGCATGTTTTAATCCAGGCTTTTACAATTCAGTGCAATGACAATTCAGCAAACTTTAAGTCCTACCTTGCCCTCAGCACTATTTTAGGTCCTGAGGAGAGACAAAATTTATTTAAGAAACATTTCCTGCTCTCATGAAACTGTCTAGGAAGTAACGTTTCTAGTAAGGAAAAGTCAGCTTTAGCAGTAAGAGAAGAAAGAGAAATTGAAAGTATTAGAATAGGCAAAAAGAAACAAAGCTATCACTCTTTGCAGATGATATGATGATATACTTAGAGAATCCTAGAGAATCAAGTAAAAAACTACTTGAAATAATAAACAACTTTAGCAAAGTTACAGGCCATAAAATAAACCCACATAAATCATCAGTGTTTCTATATATTACCAACAAAGCCCAACAGCAAGAGATAGAAAAAGAAATTCCATTTAAAGTTACTGTAGACATTATAAAATATTTAGGAGTCTACCTCTGGAAACCTACAGGAGTTATATGAACACAATTACAGAACACTTCATGCAAATAAAGTCAGATCTAAATAATAGGAAAAACATCAGTTGCTCATGGGTAGGCCGAGCTAATGTGATAAAAATGACTATTCTACCTAAGCTAATTTACTTATTCAGTGCCATACCAATCAAACTACCAAAAATTATTTTATGGAGTTAGAAAAAATAATAACAAGATTCATTTGGAAGAACAAAAGGTCCAGAATATCAAGGGAACTAATGAAAAGACATGCAGGGGAAGGTGGCCTAGCCATTCCAGATCTTAAATTGTATTATAAAGCAGCAATCATTAAAACTGCTTGGTATTGGCTAAGAGATAGAGTGGTGGATCAGTGGAATAGGTTAAATATGCAAGACACAGTAGTCAATGACTATAGTAATCTATTATTTGATAAACCCAAAGACCCCAGCTTCTGGGATAAGAACTCACTCTTTGACAAAAACTGCTGGGAAAACTGGAAAAGAGTATGGCAGAAACTAGGCATAGACCAAAATCTCACACCATATACCAAAATAAAGTCAAAATGAGTTCATGATTTAGATATAAAGGCTGATACTATAAGCAAACTGGGAGAGCAAGGAATAGTTTACCTATCAGATTTATGGAGAACAGAAGAATTCATGACCAAACAGGAGATAGAGAACATTATGAAATGCAAAATGGATAACTTTGATTACATTAAATTGAAAAGTTTTTGCACAAAGCCAATGCAACCAAGATTATAAGGAAAGTAGAAAATTGGGAAAGAATTTTTACAAACAGTGTCTCTGATAAGGGCCTCATTTCTAAAATATATAGAGAATTCAGTCAAATTTATAAGAATA